AATATTGAGAATAGATTAGCATATACATGTATGTGATTTTTGCATACTGATGTAATTAAGTTATTCAACACTGTACTAGATTCATGTTTCTTGTATGTTAATACAAAAGTGTCATAATATTTTGAAGAAAAAGTTCATTCGACAACAGTTACTTTTTATGAGAATTTCTTTTTATTCATACTAAATCTGACTAACCTAAAACATTTAATACAATAAAAACATTACAATAAAAATCAACAATTTTAACAAGGTGACACCCTGTCAAATTATATTGATAATCAACACATTATGCTTATCAAAATAAAACAAGTGTATTCAAGGGTTTCAATTAAAGAAATAATCCTTTTTTATTTATATATTCATCTTGATTTGATTAAACCCTCCCGCAACTTTAACACCGCTGAATTTTTTTTGAAATAACTTGCCAAAATTGATCACCATAATGAGATGATGTGCAGAGCGCAAAAATTGGGTTGCTACCCCAAGGTCAAAGTCACACTTAAAGGTCAAATGTTAAAAAGTCTTCATTTCATAATAAAAAGTCTACATTTTGTGTCCGTTCCATAACTTTTTAACCGCTGTAAATATTTTTAAATAACTTGGCACAATTGATCACCATTATAAGAACATGTGCAGAGGGCAATAATTGGATTTGCTACCCCCAAGGTCAAGGTCACACTTAAAGGTCAAATTAAAGTCTACATTTCATGTCCCCTCCATAACTTTTAAATCTCTAAAAAAAATTTAATAACTTGGCACAAGTGATTACCATTATGTGACAATGTTCAGAGTGCAATAAGTGAATTGCTACCCCAAAGGTCAAGGTCACACATACAGGTCAAATGTTAGAAAGTCTACATTTCATGTCTGTCCATAACATTTAAACCGCTGCAAAGTTTTTAAGATAACTTGGCAGAAATGATCACCATTATGACACCATTGACAGAACACAGTAATCAAGTCACAACCCTGAAGGTCGGGGTCACACTCAAAGGTCCAATGTAAAAACATCTATTTTTCATGTCAGCTCTATAACTTATTGATAATTCAAAGGTTTTAAAAAAGCTTGGCACAAATGATCCCCACCGTGACACAATCTGCAGTGCTCAACATCCAGGTTGCTACACCCAAGGTCAAGTTCATATGTTCTCCATAATCTTTTGACTATATGGAAGATTTTAAATAACTTGGCACAAATAATCGCCATTGTGGGACTGTGCATATGATATGCATGACACAACATTAAGGTCATGGTTGGTAAAAGGTCAAGAAGTACACATTCATGTTCATGTTCACTGCAGAAGGGGATTTAGCTGTCCTTCAGACTGCCTTGTTATAGCCAGACAGCGCAGCCTGAAACTGTTTTGAGTTTTCTGAGGTAATTATACAGGTACTATTGTCCTTTTCAATTCAACATTTTACACTTTTGTACAGTTTTGAGTGCTGATTATTATCCTTCCGTTGGCAAATTCAAAATTGAGCATAGCATATAATCTTTAATCAAATACAAAACTTTTACCTCTTTTTGAAATAAATTTTAATGAAACTTGTCAGTAGTATACAATAATCATTAAATTATTACCTGTTTGTTTATATCTGCAGAAGATTAAAGGTCCTGAAGTCACTAGATTTTCAATATTTAAAAAGCAAAACAAAACACTTCAGGAATTTCCCAATTAGACTGGATTTATTTTTAACTTCCTCTTATGAAGATAACTCTGTTGTGCAGTTAGTTTATATCTGACATTTTTTATCTCCCTTTGATAAGTTTGTTTATTTTTACACTTTGAACTTTGTCTGGGACATAACTCTATAACTATAAGAGGTATCAACATGAAACTTTGTAGGTAGATAGATCTCATTGAGTAGGTGTGCAGTGCACATGAACCGTAACTCTGCCTTGCCTAAATTTTGAATTATTGCCCTTTGTTTATTTTTACACTTTGAACATTGTCCAGGACATAACTCTTAAACTATAAGAGGTATCAACATGAAACCCTGTAGGTAGATAGATCTCATTGAGTAGGTTTGCAGTGCAGAAGAACCATAACTCTGCCGTGTCTAATTTTTGAATTATTGCCCTTTGTTTAACTAAAAGTATGAGAGATATCAACATGAAACTTTGTAGGTAGATAGATCTCATTGAGTAGAAGTGCATTGTTAAAGAACCATAACTCTGTCTTGCCTAATTTTGGAGTCATTGCCCTTTGTTCATTTTGACACTTTGAACTTTGACCGGGACATTACCTTTAAATTATAAGTGATATCAACATGAAACTTTGTAGGAAGATAGGTCTCATTGGGTAAAAGTGCATTGCTGAAGAACCATAACTCTGCCTTGCCTTTTTTTGAAGTTATTGCCCTTTGTTTATTTTAACTTTTTTACTTTTGTCCTGAACATAACTATAAGAGATATCAACATGAAACTTTGTAGGTAGATAGATCTCATTGGATAGAACTTCAATGCTTAAGAACCTAAACACAGACTTGTCTAATTTTGGAGTTATTGCCCTTTGTTCATTTTTTAGCTCGACTTTTCTATGAAAAGGGGAGCTATCCTACTCGCCCCGGCGTCGGCGTTGGCGTTGGCGTCACACCTTGGTTAAGTTTTTCGTACCACCCCACTTTATTTCAGAAGTATTACAAGTATGGCTTTGAAACTTACCATACTTGTTCACCATCATAACCTCCATCTACAGACAAGAGTACATAACTCTGTCAAGGTTTTTGACAGAATTATGGCCCTTTTTTGACTTAGAAAGTGTATTGAGCTTGCGTTAAGTTTTTTGTACCACCTTCACTTTATTTCAAAACCATTGGAGGTATTGCTTTGAAACTGACCATACTTGTTTACCATCACGACCTTCATCAACAGACAAGAGGACATAACTCTGTCAAGGTTTTTGACAGAATTATGCCCCTTTTTTGACTTAGAAAATACATTGAATATGGGTAAAAATCCACTTATTGCCTTAACCCTTTGAGATATTGCTTTGAAACTTTTAATGCTATTTCACATCATTACCCCCATCTGTACGCAAGAGAAGGTAACTCTGTCAAGGATTTGTTTTAAAAATTAAGGCCTTTTATCGACTTAGAATCTTGGTTAAGTTTTTAGTACCAGTCCACTTTTTGACTGAAACTGTTTGAGATATTAATTTGAAAGTTGGAATAACTTGTTTACAATTCATGATTCCCAAACATGTCCAGGAGAAGGTAATTCTGTCAAAGATTTTATTTGAATTATGGCCCTTAACTGTCAATGTTTTGTATTATAGGCAAGCACTAAAAAACTTAAAAAATCTAAAAAAATTCATTCCTATCCACTTGTTCACTTTACCATAAATTATGTCATAATAAAATAATTCTTCACTAAATATCTTAATGCTCATGGCCATTGTTCACTTTAAAAATACAGAGATTCTTGTATTGCCTTTTACTGCAAAAACTTTTTTTATTGGCAAGCAATAAAAAAGTCGAGCGCGCTGTCTTACGGACAGCTCTTGTCTTATACTTTCCTGTGTCCAAAACCTTCTTGGGGAGCATCACCCTGTTCAACCGGTTCTTGTTAAATATAATATATTTTGTTCCAGAACAGTAATTTATGATGCTTTTCTGAAAAATCCTTACGCAAGACTGGATAGAAGGGAAATGGGAAGGGTTTTAATACAAACAAGTGCAGTCATTGAAAATTGTCATGATTCTTTTTAAATGAACCAGGCTCTACCGGGTTCAACTGTAGCTTCATCGTCATCCTCTTGGGCTCTGTCCGCATTCACCGGGGCTCTGCCAGCATTCACCAGGGTTCTACCATAGCTCTACCAACTATATCATACCCTGGATCATCCTCAGTTTGTATCCTCAGCTACGGTGCTTCCCCTGTGTTACCCGGTTGTTCCCAGCAGAGCTAAGGATGAAGTCGGCAAAGCTATACCTCCCAGATCATCCTGGACAACCCCGGTGATATTAAAATATTTTATTTAATCCGGGGGTAGAAAGTGGATATGCCCAAATCATCCCGGACGTTGCTGGGCAGAGTTGCGGATGTACTTCTGGTTGTTCCCGGTTCGTTCTCTAATCACCCCAGACGTCTACTGGGCTCTTGCCAGGATGTAAGTGAGACGTAGGGCAAGAGTAAAATATTCTACCCCAGTGATGTAATTTTAGCTTTGGCCCAGGGGTTGCAGAATTATTTATAGGTTGTTAAATTAATTGTCGTCTTGTTGTGATATTGCAAGTGAAAAATTGACCACACATGACTAGCATTATATACATATAAAGACTAGCTTAATATTCATATAAAGGCTGTCAAAGAGAAATCATTAATCATTCATTATTGTTCAATGTTTTAATTAGATTATAATAAAATTATATAAAAAATGATAACCAAATATGTGTTAAAAATTGCATACAATCTTACCAACCAAACAAAAATTAACATAATCATCCTAACTGATCGAATGGCACACTGTTTCAGCTTAATAGTGATTGCAATGTAAGAAAAGGGACTAGTTGTCCTTTGGTATATACAAGTATTGTATTGTATGTTAAATAGTCTGTATTTTTTATATTGAATGATTTAAAAAAGTTTAATGTTGAGGTTATGATAAAAACCACTGAAGAAATATAATTGAGCTGGACAAAACCAACGTAATGCATTTGCGACCAGCATGGATCCAGACCAGCACAGTCTGTTTCGCTATCAGTAACTTGTAATATGGTTGGTAAGCGAACAGCATGGATCCTGATCAGACTGCGCGGATGACCAATTGGGAAGCGACACTCTACATAAAATGTATTTATAAACTTTGAGCGATTTAGAAAATTAGGATAGGATTCTCGAGTAATCAGATTTCACTTAGAATTAAGCCAATCAAAATTGTTCAGGAATCCCAATGATCCTTAAATGAATTCAAACTGAACATACAAAGTTTGATTTAATCAATTTGTTGAAAAATAACAGTAATGGTAACAAATTAAAATGAATGGAAACATTTACAGTAAATTGACAGGATTTATTTACAGGTACTCAAGTCAACTACATAAATTAATGAAGAAATAGTACCATCTTCTTTTACAAAACTAACCCATAAAAGTTTATTTCTTCAACAATTGTTGATACAAATTACAAATACATATTATGCAGTAAAGCTAAATATGCTTCAATTATTTAAAGTACGAAAATATGGATATTATTATGTACTAACCTATAACATGGCAGCTTCGAAAAACATTTTAGAAAAGTTTAAGGAATAAAGATATTTGTAAAAATGAGTTCAATAGATGATGATAAATGAGCAATTACTGATTATTTCATGTGAAGATAATGAATACTACCAAAATGATGAGAATCAGACATATCAATACAAAAGTGAAGTTATTATCTTACTTTGAAATATCAACAATCAGACATGAAAACCAGACTATGAAATATCAACAATCAAACATGAAAACCAGACTATGAAATATCAACAATCAGACATGAAAACCAGACTATGAAATATCAACAATCAGACATGAAAACCAGGCTATGAAATATCAACAATCAGACATGAAAACCAGACTATATGAAATATCAACAATCAGACATGAAAACCAGACTATGAAATATCAACAATCAGACATGAAAACCAGACTATGAAATATCAACAATCAGACATGAAAACCAGACTATGAAATATCAACAATCAGACATGAAAACCAGACTATGAAATATCAACAATCAGACATGAAAACCAGACTATGAAATATCAACAATCAGACATGAAAACCAGACTATGAAATATCAACAATCAGACATGAAAACCAGACTATGAAATATCAACAATCAGACATGAAAACCAGACTATGAAATATCAACAATCAGACATGAAAACCAGACTATGAAATATCAACAATCAGACATGAAAACCAGACTATGAAATATCAACAATCAGACATGAAAACCAGACTATATGACAGTTTGCTTTATCTCTTTCACATATGGAATTATGGATGACATACACATATGTATCAAAAAGTGTTTCTTATGACAAGAAATTTGCTATTTGACAAAATATAAGATGATGTTGAGCACGAATGTTGCTGTCATAATCTAGCTTGTAGCTACCACTCATTTGTCTCACTGTCTTGCTTTAGTCATTTCCACATATTTTGCATACCTTTTATCTCCTTGTATTTATCAGTACAGATAGGAGTATGGTGATATGAATCTTTGCAGCATTGTTTCTCCCCCTTATATTAAGTGACATCAAATAACACTGTAAAGCGTCTCCAGCTCTACCTTCTTGTTCCATGCATTTTCCTAGAAGATTTAGAGCTGTTTCCTGATGTCCAAGGTTTCGTTCCTTTTTTATGGTTCTGATTAATTTGAAGAGCGCAGCTTGTTTCAGGTCATGTCTTCCAAGATGGCTGTAAACTTTGTATTGTAGAAAGTAGAGGTAAGGGAGGGAATCCACTACAGCACAATCCATCCAGTCGTTGTCTTCTTTTGTACGAAACATTCTGTCCTCTTGTGTAGATCTAAACATTTCATACCTGAGTTCATTTGGTACACAGTGAATTTCACATTGCAGATATCTAACACATGATGCTGTTGTATACTGTAAGATTTCTTCATTATGATTTTCACATAATTTATAGAATCCTTGTCTTACTGATTTTATCTCAAATTGATAACAACTACAGACAGGCTCAACAATTTGTAGATCATATCTTCTTTCAATCTCACTGAGTACTGCGTTAGCTTTTTGTATTTCTTGTACACGATATAAAATAGAAGCTAGTTTCAGTTTACTTGATGCAACATCTGTATTCAGACCAAGTGAGATGAGTTTGAGGGCATCTGCTGATACAGTGTTGTAATGATAGATGTTGAGTGAAGCCAGGACAGATCCAAGTGTTGTACAATACCATGGTAACAGAAGATGAGTGGCTGGCTTATCTAATCCTTCATATTGACAGTTGATTGTCTTCAATACAAAGTTCTTTAATATTTCTACAGCTTCATTAGGACTACTGTCCTTAAGATGATAATTAATTCTTTTCAGTGTATAATATATATATACTGCTAGATTAAATAATTGTGATCCTGAAGTAATGTCAGTTGTCTTGATTGTACCTAAATTTAAAATTTTACGTTGAAGCCTGGAACCAAGAGCATCACATTTAATCCAAAGAAGTGCTACTCCTTCACTGTTGATGATATTTCTTAATATTTCCAGGATATATGGTTTGACTGCAGGTGAAATTTTCCCCCTCATTAAATTGTTCCCAGGTATGATAAAATGCGGACAATTTTCATTAATGATATTGTTGTACAGGAGATATAAACACAGTGATAGACAAGAAAGTAAGTTATTTTCTCTCCAGATGTTAGAATGTGTATTGGAAATACAATGGAAGAGTACAGTTTTACACATAAAACTTGTAATAACATCTTTAAACAGTGGATTTATAAATGTTTTTAAAATAATTTTCATCAAGACATAACAGCGAATCTGTGTAATATTCAGGTTGAACATTAAACACCTTTCTGCTAAAGATGTTGATATTCTCCATTCAAGTTGCTCATGTTCACTGCCACTACATCCAACACCAACAACAAAGCATCCAGTTCTGCTGCAATATTGTTTCATTTCAGCAGATGGCCATTGACCTTCACCTTGCTGATCCAACCATTGTCTAGCTTGTTGTGGCCATGTTGTACAATGTAGAGCAAACACAGAATCTTTATCACAGATGCCTGGTTGTCCTTGTTGAAAACCTGCTGGCCCATGTATTTCATGGTTTATATTAAATAAAGATACTATAAAATTCTTTAAAAGTAATTTTCCTGTTCTGTCTTTGAAAAAGAATTGATCAGATTCACCATCTTCAGGAAGAGGAGCATCAGGTCTCAGCACTTGAAGTAAACAATATCCAGGAGATACAGAATTATCTTGAATCATCAAATGATTATATAAACCAGGTATCCAGTCTCTCCAGTCTTGTATCACAGGGAATGCTTTATCGCAATATAGTTGATCTAGGTCTGATTGCATTCCTGTTGTAGTTGTACCTTCTGATTGACTCCCAAAAAAGTATGCTGAAGCATTTTTATCAAGTAGTTGGTAAAGTTATATTTTCTATTGATTCCATCAGAAGCCATGTTCTTCTCCTCTTCATCACTATTCTCTCATCAACACCTATATCAGCCAGAACCTCTGATAGCTTCATTGACACAGTCTGATTGTAATCTGGTACTTGATACATTCTGAAAATATAAGGCCATTATTTTTTTATATTTCAGTTTACTGACCCGCCGACTCCGTATTTTGGGAAAATGAAAAAAAAATCTGCCCCCAAAAAAATTCTGTGTTGTCTTGAATTACGCCGCTAATAAAGTTAAGATGTTAGTTAATATTCTATCTCACCTATACGACCTTTCAAAGAAACATCAAGAAAATTTTTCACGGTAATAATTATGAAAGAATGTCTGTTAAATCGGTCAAGCCATTCTCACAGAATTATAATGAGGCTTTGATCATATTTCATCAGTACAATTAATGTGTCCAAATGCATAAAAATGTCAAAGAAAACAACTACAAAAAAAAACAAAAACAAACAAAAAAAAACACGCCAAACAGGCTGTCAACCAATTCCTATATTCCTATAAAACTCCTATATTTTGGGTCGGAATCCTATATTTTAAAAAGCCTCCTATTTTTCCTATATTCTCCTATATTTTGAATATTTTTCCTATATTTTTAAAGAAAATATATTGCCGAGGAATTCAAAGAGATTTAAATTTTGGTACTGCTTTTGGCCTTTTGTATTTTACAGGTAAGAGAATGTCTATGCCTGCATCAGCATCACATTACTATGCTCAAGGCTGCTGTGCTCCTCATAGCCATCTGCATGGTCACCATGAAAAGCAGTGCATCAGTATGTCAACTTTATTTCAGATGACCATTCAGATGATGGTCATGCATTGCTGTAACTTTCTGCCGGGATGCTGTGGTTCAAAGCTAATGCAGGCTGTCCACTGCGTCCCTAAAAAAATCCTAATTTTTTCTGTTTGGCTAAAATTCCTAAAAAAGTGAAAAATTCAAAGGGAATTCCTAAAGGTGCCCTATTTTTTCACTGAAATTCTTCATTTTTTTCCTTTGTTATAAACATACTTATAACTTGTAACCCTGTCAAAATAATCACGGACATAACTAAGTCGACCATGTTTTGAACATGGTCAAAAATGATTTGGCCATGATTTGCCAACTCAAAATTGATGACATTGAAATGGTTTCGTTTTAACTAAAAGTTATTTTGACTATGTCAGTAACATTGCTATTTCATAATCAAAGCATTTGTTGATCATCATGTTGACAGCAAAAATACTACCATATCATGGTCCTGAAACTCAAATCATAACCATAAGAGTCCACTTATTCTGGAATATTTCGACACTTTTTTGCCAACTTCAGATATCTTGAATTTTATGTTTGTTCATTTTATCCAAATTTTCTGAAGTGGTCCATTTATTTCATATCATATTTAAAAATGATCATTATGAAGCTGTTGTAACACAATCTTAATTAAAAACATGTATAAATAGTTGTCAAAAATTAATGTACAATTTGTTTACTCACAACTCTTTTATTTATATCTGCATAATATCAAAACAACATTGTAAAGTACTGAATGGGTTAACGTAGACTTTGAAAAATTAATTCTTTCCCTCATGCTTATTTATCCTTTTCGATGTCATTGTAGGAGAAATTGCTTATTTTGCCACAAAGCTTTCAATTTCATTCAATTCTTGTTCTTTCATTCATCTGGTACAATTTAGGAAAAGGCAGACTCATATAATTAATCACACTCAAAAATAATTTGGCAGTTCAGTAATATAAAGCTCATTTCCAATTACAATGTACATTGTACACACATTTTGCAATTATGTGATCTAGAAAAACTGCAATTGAATGGTCTGTGTAATGAACTTTTTTGATGTGCATTTCTTTGTGTAGATTATAGATGCTTCTCATTTATTCAAATGACTGTACTAAGGCAAATGCCTTTTTACTTCCTGCTTGTAAAAAAAATTTCATTTGTCCATATTCAAAAGCTGCATTGTGCAAGAATTTTACTGTATAAGCATTCCTTTTAGACACTTGTGGTTATAACATTCCCAAAACATAGGTAAAACATGTTCATTTTGACATGTTCAGCCAATTTAAAAAAAATATGGTTTGAACCTGATTTGACTAAGACCATTTCCGCAGGGGAGGCAGTTGACCAGTGAGTCCACACTGGTAAGCACCTTTGCTCTAACTAAACTAGAGCATTATTTGTGAGTTACTTTTGTGTCAAATATGCAAAGATTAGCCCTCATCATAGTCCTTTCGGACCTGAGTTTATTTATTTATAAAATTGCAAATTTTAGCCCTAAAATTTCTATTACGTACCCTAACATTCCTAATTTTAGCCTTAAAATTTCTGAAATATTACCCTAAAATTCACCCTTATTTTATGTCAAAAGGTGCTGGACAGCCTGCTAATGGTGTCCTTCACTTATACGGTAGACATTTATCGTAGAAACAGCATGTGTAAAAGTAAGAATAATTTACATTTATATAAGCATTGGTAAGTTAAACAATTTAAGTTGAAAACACCTTTTTTTTGCCTCTAAATGGTCCAAAAACTCCTATATTTCCTGCAAAAATATTCCTATATTCCTCCTTTATTTTGAAAAATTGTTCTGCCTTCACTTATTGGTGCAGAATCTTTCACAATGGGGAATATCTAGATATAAAAATATAAGAAAGTTTAATCCACTTTTCCAGCTTTTATTTAATTTGTCAACACATATACTTATTAATCAGGCAGAAATGATCTAATATAAACAGAATATTAAATTCTAACATATTAATGAAAGTAAGTTTTACATTCATTTACTTTAACAAATAGATAATATTCAAATATTAAGTAACATCTTGTTACCTGAAGTTTTTAACAAAGTTATTAACATAATTATATTTTTTCAAGTATTCAAAATAAGAACAGCTTAGTGTTCTTAACTAAATTTTAGTTGTTTAACATCAAACATTTACAAAATGTACATAGAATAAAAATACAACTTACCTAGATATAAAAATATAAGGAAGTTTAATCCACTTTTCCAGCTTTTATTTAATTTGTCAACACATATACTTATTAATCAGGCAGAATGATACTGCCAGCTGGAAAAGGGATCTTTTAAGGGGTTCTCTCACTGTCCATTGGTTTAACTTAGTTGACCAATAATTAAACATTATTTCTGGAGAGGCGGAACTACAAGTTCTGGCTAAAGTCTGAAAATACTCGAGAAATAACTTACATATTTTCTAATCACTATTTGTAAATTTAATTGTCTATGTTTTTAAAAGAATTAAGTTTATCACAGATGTTAATATAACAAGCATTTTGCAATTCTTTGTCTAGTGTAAAAGGTTTTTAGCACATTGGCTTCTCTGTAACAACATGTCACCTGTTTGAGACATTCCAATTGACCACATAAATGTACTTGAGATTTAACAAAGAAAAAGGTATAATTTAGTTTTATCATTTATAAATTTATGCTTAATTTTGAAATCAGAAAATACAAAATAAAATTTAAAATGAAATTCAATACAAATATTTCACTCACTTATTTAATATACACAATATAAAATATAACAAAAAAATAGAATTATTGGTCAACTAAGTTAAACCAATGGACAGTGAGAGAACCCCCTTCAAAGATCCCTTTTCCAGCTGGCAGTATCATTCTGCCTGATTAATAAGTATATGTGTTGACAAATTAAATAAAAGCTGGAAAAGTGGATTAAACTTCCTTATATTTTTATATCTAGGTAAGTTGTATTTTTATTCTATGTACATTTTGTAAATGTTTGATGTTAAACAACTAAAATTTAGTTAAGAACACTAAGCTGTTCTTATTTTGAATACTTGAAAAAATATAATTATTTTAAAAATTTTTGGTTAAAAATTTTAGGTAACAAGATGTTATTTAATTTTTTGGAATATTTTTTCTATTTGTTAAAGAAAATGAATGAAAAAACCTTACTTTCATTAATTTTTTAAAAATTTAATTTCTTTTTAAATATTAGATCATTTCGGGCCTAAATTAATAAGTATATGTTTTTGACAAATTAAAAAAAAGCGGGAAAAATTTGGGAAATTAAAACTTTTTTAAATTTTTTTAAACCCCGTTTGAAAAAGGGGGACGTTTTATGGGAACGCCCCTGGCGGCGGGCGGCGTCCAATTTTGTCCGGAGCATATCTCCTACATGTATGGAGGGATTTTAATGAAACTTCATAGAAATGTTCACCACTATGAGGAGCAGTGTCGCGCACATGAACCAGGTCTCTAGGTCAAAGGTCAAGGTCACACTTAAGAGCTTCATTGAAAAAATGCTTGTCCGGAGCAAAAACTTCCACATGTATAGAAGGATTTTCATATATTACTTGGCACAAATGTTCACCAATTGTGAGGCGGAGTGTCGCGTGCAAGATTCAGGTCCTTTGCGGCCAAGGTCAAGGTCACACATAAGAGGTCAAAGTTCAGATAAAAAATATGAAGATGTGTATATGGACCATTTAGTCATCATTTATTGAGGGATTGTAGCACAAATGGTCATTATCAAGACTATGGCTGTGATACATATAATTTAGGTCAATATATACAAGGTCAAGGTCACTAAAGATGATAAAATATCCAGATTTTGTAAATAGAATTTAATCAAAGGGCGACAACAAAGTTATTACTTTGTTCATAAATGACTTACACAATTACTCCCCTTGATCTACTTTCACTTTCAATTCTAAAAATAGAATTTAATCAAAGGGCATAAAATAATCCTCTTTCTTGGACTTTGAGTATGTTTCTAAAGAATGTAACATTTATTTACACATGTTTCATTCATTGGTCAAAGATTCTTAACTGTGATAACTATGGTGTTCTGTAGACTTGGTATTTGTTCATAAAGATCATACAGTAATTACCTTATCAAATGTAAATACTTTCTCATAGAAATTTAATTTTTATTTTTAATTTTCAAGTAAATATCAGTTCAAGCTCTCCTACATGTATGGAGGGATTTTTCATGAAACTTCATAGAAATGTTCAACCACTATGAGGAGCAGTGTCGTGCACATAGAACCAGGTCTTAGGTCAAAGGGTCAGGTCACACTTGGAGCTCATTGAAAAATGCCTTGTCCGGAGCAAAAACTCCCACATGTATAGAGGGATTTCAATATTA